AGCTCTCTCATTTCTTACCTTACAAAATGTTTGTTGAATTAAGTATATTTTATTCTGCATCATTCTGCAGGTCACTGGCAAACAATTCCCTGAGTGGTTCTGACCCATCCTCCATTTGGCAAAATAGGACTCTTAATGAATCTGAGAGACTGTCCTTGTAAGATTGATATGGGAAAGAAAATCCTCTCTCCCCATTGCACGAGTTTTTGAGTCTATTATCAGACACTAGATCATGCTGAAACAAATTGAATACTAGTCTCATAATTTTTATTGGACTCTGAAAACTTTATGGCCTAATAAGAACAGACTGAAAATTTTCTTATTTATCGATAAATTTGTGTTGTTATTTTTTATATTGCAGGGATTTTCAGAACAATATGTTTTCGAATATATCTGGCAGTCCTGCCCTCCCTCTGAATGTCACCGTTAGGTTTGTCCCTTCTCATCACTTCCATCTGCAATGACATTTTCCTATTCTAAAATAAACAATTTTCCAGATTAAAATAAGAATCCTGGTTGTATAATAGAGATAATTAAGAGTTGTCTCAGCAAGTGAGATCTGGTGACATAATTTTCTCATTTGGCCTATGTTATTTAATATTTATATGACAATTTCAGGCTTCACGGAAATCCCATATGCTTAAGAAGCAACCTTGTTCAATTCTGTGGATCCCAAGACGAAGGTGTCAGCAATATCTTGAACAAAACAGATGCCAGAGTGTGTATATCGTCATGTCCACCTCCTTATGAGTTAGCTCCACCATCTCCTGATTCACCTTGCTTTTGTGCTGCACCTCTGCTGGTAGGATATCGCTTGAAGAGTCCCGGGTTTTCAGATTTTCGCCCTTATATTAATATGTTCGAGAAGTACCTAAGTGATGGTATGGAATTGCATATTTATCAGCTCGAAATTGATTCGGCTGAATGGCAAGAGGGACCTCGACTGAGAATGTACCTGAAGATTTATCCAGTGTATGTTAACAACACAACATTCAAATTTAATGAAAGCGAGGTCACACGAATTCGTAGCTTGTTTAGTGGATGGAATATTCCAGATAGCGAGGTGTTTGGACCTTTTGAGCTTCTCAACTTCACACTCCGGGATCCTTACGGAGATGGTCTGTGTCCATTCTCATTTGCATGTTTACTTTTGAGTCATATGAACGAAAGGTAGTCATTTAATCATGGTATTTGCTTTTCCTTCGTTGGAAGAAAGGGCTTACATCTTCTAAATTTAGGACTTCTAAAATATAATTTTCCAAAAGGAGTTTTTAAGGGAAGATCGTATCCTGCTAAGCTTGTGGCATTGAAAAAAATACTCTCTGTGTTGATGTTGATGCTCATGGGCCAAAGAAAGAAAATTATCATAGTGTATTTGGAGAACCTGTGGCATTTGCTGTTCATTTAGAAGTAAAACATTTGTGTTTGTTGCTTACACAAAGTGGTAATG